GCCAGGCTGCGCAGCTCGTCCCGTCCCAACTCTTGCAAACGACCACGAAGCCATTCCGCTCCCCTGTTCCTGGTATTGTTGCGGAACTCCTCCCATCGCAAACCCTCGGACGAGCGCCGTAACTGGTCCATTCTCCCGGACAATCCCTTCAAACAATGGAACTGTCACCGCGCTACTCTGACGCGCGTCCCGGGTACGCGACTCGAACAAAAAGCTTGTTCAGCATGTTCTGCTAGCAACCTGTACCCATTCAAACTTGCAAAGCTTTCACTACCTCCACGCAAACATCCAAGCTCCAGACACTCCAACCACTGAGGTCATCCTCCATCCATCCTCTGTCGACGCCAACAGGCATTCTTGGCGTGATTGTAAACGAGTTTATGAAAAACAGATATGCTCCAAATTCTTTAAGGCTTTATGGAAATGTCATCCCTTGCAGCGCTGGCTTCAAGTAAGGCTCCAACCACAGCTGTGACGTCATCGCTCGACCCAGCTTCAGGCTCAAACTCTTCAGCTGCTCCACAGAATACCGTAAACGAACCCCTCGAACGTGCGAGACAGGTGATTTGCCAGCAATTCCGAGTAAGCCGATAGTTCACATCGACTTGTCCCAGACGCATGACCTCTGGGCGCAAATTAAAATATTAAGAGAAAAGATTTGTAGAAAGAGAGAAGGAGAGGGCGGATGTGAAGGAGTGACAGTGTGCAGGTGTGATATACATGCGCAGATGCGTGGAGGTGTAGAGGTACATATACAGATGTGAGCGCGTCAAGATACTCTCGTGGGACACTCGCTCTGGGACACTCTTGTGGGACACTTTTGTGGGTCTCTCTTGTGGGAAGCTCTTGCGGGGCAACTACAAAGTCGCCAATTCTCATCTTCCAGCTCCCCAGATACTCCACGTACTAAAGTTGTACTACCAAGTCCCCAGTTCTCATCTTCCAGCTCCCCAGGTACTCCCCGTACTAAAGTTTCTCGCAAAGTCGCCAATTCTTATCTTCCAGCTCCCCAGATACTCCGCGCACTAAAGTTGTACAGCAAGTCAGCAATTCTCATCTTCCAGCTCCCCAGATACTCCGCATACTAAAGTTTTACTACAACGTCGCCGGTGCTCAGCTTCCAGCTCCCCAGATACTCCGTGTACTAAAGTTGTACCACCAAGTCCCCAGTTCTCATCTTCCAGCTCCCCAGGTACTCTGCGTACTAAAGTTCTACTACAAAGTCGCCAATTCTTATCTTCCAGCTCCCCAGATACTCCGCGTAGTAAAGCTGCACCCGCAAGTCACCAATTCTCATCTTCCAGCTCCCCAGATACTCCGCGTACTGAAGTTTTACACAAAGTCGCCAGTTCCCAGCTTCCAGCTCCCCAGCTACTCCGCGTACTACAGTTGTACTAGCAAGTCGCCAGCTCTCATCTTCCAGCTCCCCACATACGCGCGCACAGGGCACGCATCGCCCTGTCCTCTGCATTTCGCGCACTCGACACGCACGATCTCCGCAGAGGGATGCCCGCGTGCAAGACAAATCGCGCTCTCGCCTGCATTTCGCGTACTCCACACGCACGATCTCCGCAAAGGGTTGCGCCGGACCGGGTCAAAACGCACTCTGGCCTGCACTTCGCGCCCTCGACACGCACGATCTCCGCGGAGGGCTGCCCGCGCCAAATTCAAAACGCACTCTCGCCTGCACTTCGCGCATTCGACACGCACGATCTCCGCAGAGGGTTGCGCCGGACAGAGACAAGTCGCACTCTCGCCTGCACTTCGCGCATTCGACACGCACGATCTCCGCAGAGGGTTGCGCCGGACAGAGACAAATCGCACTCTCGCCTGCATTTCGCGCCCTCGACACGCACGATCTCCGCAGAGGGTCGCCAGCGACCGGGACAAATCGCACTCTCACCAGCATTTCGCGCACTCGACACGCAGGATCTCTGCAGAGGGTTGCCCGCGCCAAAACCAAATCGCACTCTCGCCTGCATTTCGCGCACTTGACACGCACGATCTCCGCAGAGGGTTGCGTTTCGTGGCGGTCCGGCGGCACTGCCCCCGGCCTTAAGAGAGAAAGTTAAGAAGAGCGAGAGGTGAAGATGTGAGCTGTAGATGTGAGGATGTGAAGATGAGCAGAGATGTAGATGTGCAGATGTGAAGATGAGCAGAGATGTAGATGTGTGAAGATGAAGATGAGCGGAGATGTAGATGCGAGGATGTGAAGATGAGCAGAGATGTAGATGTGCAGATGTGAAGATGAGCAGAGATATAGGTGAGAACGTGATTGTGCAGAGGTGAAGATGTGAAGATGTAGAGGAGGTGTAGTTCTGCAGATGTTTTTTTACGAAGAACCCTTCGCAGACGCTCTCGGGAAAAAGCATGCTCACTTGTTTGCTTCTAATTCAACCACTCCTCTGGGCTTGGAATATTCTGAGCAGATTGGTGAGCCGTCCACTCATTGGTGTCCTCAAGACAAACTATTGTCGATCGCTGGGACGGATGACACGTGGCAATGGGGATAGCTGGTGGTCCTTTTCAAGCGTTTGCCGCGCCTCGAACGCATTCAAAAACGTTTGTCATCCTTTCCACTCAAGCAAAATCACCAGACATGTGTCTTGCCTTCTGAACACTAATGCATTTCACCGCCACATCGACCACATCCGAGTTGTCATTGGGCTGAGCCCATCTGTACATGCCAACCTCAATCTCTCCGGTAGTGCAAAAATGAAAAAGTCTGTTCTACATATGCGCTGCTACATGATACTAAAAAACAAACAAAAGCAAATGGCGACACCTCTCCATAGATGGCTGCTCCAATCTTCTTCACGTGGCAGAAGTTTCCAACCTGAGTCACTTGATTGCATGGGTAGTGGACGAAAAGTATGAGAGTAGAGGAGAGAACACTAGAATGTCATAGCTTATTTATTGGGATTGACAACTGGCAGGGGGTGTGGAGAGCTGACAAACGGAGAAGAAAGGCGATAAAATGTGATAAGGGTACGTGGGATGATACAAAATGAGATAGACGCAGAAAAAAAGATGGCGCTGTGGTCTGAGCCCAATCCAGGAGCTCTGTCTCATCTGCTCCGGTCACCCCAAAGGCAGGGGTGAAGCAGGCCAAGCAGAACGACGCTCGTTGACGAACGCGAGGGAAGATCCTCCACGAAACTCCGGCCAATGGAGATCAAGAAGGGCATCGACTGCAGTGCGGCACCCGCATCTGACCACGCTCATCCACCTGCAGCATCCTGCTGCAACTGCTGGGACCGACCACTGAGTTTTGATTGTAGGAGATGCGACATTGAGATGGGATAAGGGGAGCAAAGTTCAATTATATATATATAAGATGAGACAGAGCAAAAAACGCATAGGATGAAATCCAGGTAAGATGATGCCAGATTAGACGGGGAAGAATGGGGCAAGCGAGAAAGGATTCGACTCTTCAACAAGTTTCACCGAAGGCATTGGTGCTCGCATGAGCCTCCGACAGGCCCCTCTGGTAGCTTGAGGTTCTCCCTGAAATATGCTCGATTCGTGTTGCGGGGATCGCTGTTGCAGCGGACAAGCCTGGCAAATCATAAATTCAGGAGCAAGAAGCTACTAGGTGGAGGCCATCGCTATTAGGTTGGAGGCCATTACTACTAGGAACAAGAAGCTACTATATAGTAACAAGTTGGGAACAGGAGAAGTCAAACAGCGCAGATGTGCTGGATGGTAGGCTTCCCACCTGAGGAAATCTTCAAGTTCAGATCTTACAGCATAAAAGAATGATTTAGAAAGTCTTAGGTCTTGGAAATAAATCTTGCTACCTGTTGGTCATTTATCTTCTTTCATATGCTTTCTCTTACTGGGTATTTGGCAAATGCCGACATGCATAAAGTCGGCTTGATGGAGCAGCTCACTTCCTGGCGTAATTACGTGCACTTTGGGGGGCACAAGTAGAATGACAAAACCATGACAAAGTACAAACTCTCAGCTTTGACACTCAAACTTGCACTGCAAGTCAAAAACAGTTAGACGTTATGCAGCTTTTGGTATCAGCGTTTGTTCACTGCCTTCACAGAATAGCCTCTGCTGCTCAACAGGCACCCCAGTCCTTTCGAGGACCTGACAAAATGCCAACTTAAAATGTTGACACGACTCAACAAGCAGCAAGCGGTTGTCTTTTGTTCTCCACCTTTTTGACATCCTATATTTGTGACTCTGACAAACCAATTACACCGTGGCCAAAGTGGATGGCACGGCGCGAAACAGAAAAGGGCGAGTAGATGGCACCGACAGGGCCCTTCGGAGACACGCCCAGGTTAGGGGGAGCAGACCAATTTTAGGCGATGATGGCGCGCCTTTTTCTGGTCATTCACGCCTTATTTCAGTGGTTCCTGTGAGAATAGATGGCGCAACTCTACATACCTTACCCTCTTTTGTCCCTCTGTCTCCTTTCCCTCTCCTCTCATGTCTTTTGACCTTCTGTGTCTGATCCTTATCCTTTTGCTTCCTTTCCTGCACTTCTCCTTTACCTTTCCTCCCCTTTGCTTTCTTTCCTGTTGTTTCTTTCTCTTTCCTGTCGTCTCCCTTTATTTGTTTCCTTTCCTCGCCCTTGGTTTGTTGACCTTGCCTTTCCCCTCCTTTCCCTGCACTTGCACTTCAATCTCCATTGACCTATTGTAAGAACGGTGCACACTAATGGATGGCGCAATCCTGGAGTGAAAGGTGATACAGTACTGTAATGGTTAATGATGGTTGAGTCATTAGATAGTCTAACCGGTCTCTCTCCTTTCATGCCCTTGCCCTTTGCTTTCCTTTCCTTGTGTTTCTTTTCATTCAGTTCTGCTTGACCCTCCCCTGGTCCTGTATTTCAGGGGTTCCTGTGAGAAGTAGATGGCGCAACCTCTCCTCTACTCCCCTTACCTTCTCCAAAGAAACGTGTACAATATTCAAATATTGCGCCAACAATGTAGCAAAATTGAATACTGTGTAGTTCTGTGATGCGCTCATTAAAGGCATACAGTACTGTATTTGATTAGAACAAGCTTGAACTTGAACAAGCCACATTCCACAAGCTTGACCTTGAACGCTGCTCATGGGCAAAGGTGGCGGGGCACAATCAAGGGTTGCAATACAGCATTATGGCTCCAACGGGCTTGATGAGCCATCTATTTATCATCAATTGTTTGCAGAATAAGGCGTAACACCGAAAAAAAGTTGAACATGAAAAAACATACAATTGTAGACTAATCTCCTTTGATGGCAATCAGGGTAACTATCTAGGTAGATGGCGCATTGTTATAGCTGTGCCATCAACAGATTTGGAACCCCCCTCAAAATGACACGCCTAGGTAGATGGCTCAATTAAGATATCAGTGCCATGCACTTTTACTTCGGAGTAAGGCTGTTGGCTGTTGATGTCTTGTGCTTCTGTAATGCAGAGGCCTGCGAGCGCACGTCTGTGATGCTCATGTTTGGCGCAGCATCCACCTGCGGACATCCATGTTCTTCCTCTTGTCATCTTGCATGAGGTTCAGCTCTCAGCTGATCAGCTGACTTTCTTGATTTCCACCGATGTTGTGCTATGTTTGAAATCGCTTCTGCACTGATCATCAAAAGCCCCGAAACAACTTGGAGTACTGGGAGGACGACCATGCAGGCAAGGTCTCCGCTGCACATCCAGCAAACCTCCAGGCGATCCACCTGCAGCTCACCAATTTCTGCAAGTACATGCACATGTCAATTCCACGTAGCATCTGTTTTGAAAAAGCGCTCTTCATTACCTATTTGACACTATGCAACCTGGATCCTCAAAGGTTCGTGACATGAAGAGTCTGCAGAAGGATAAGATCCAGTAAAGTGTGAGCTCTGCCTAACTCTATTTCTTCAAAAAGCACCGGTTGGGAATGTTCAATTTCAATTTGGTTTACCGCTTGCCTGCAATCCATCTCGGGCACTTCCGCCTTGGTGACCCAGAGTTGTAAGCAGTTCGTGCCACACCGCCACACCTGAAACCACCGGCCTCCAAGTAATGGAAACTCGACCATGGCTGGTGTGTTGTGAACGGGGCTATCCAGTTTCAGGTGAGGAGATGAAAGGCAAATCTGCAGTGTTAAAGTAATTGACATGTCTCCCATGAGTTCATGTGGATGTTGCAATTTCAAGCGGCCAGGCCCTCAACGTGGCTTGAAGCTCTGCCCCGATCACTCGAGCCAAACCCGCCAAATGTATTGTTACAGTGATACTGCTCAGTAAAATGCTGCTGCCAATGGAAACAAGGCTACTAAGCAAAACACAGGAAGACCCGCACATTCTTCACATACGGAACGGTTTGAATGGTTGCACGTGCAACCATTCTGGTAGACATACCAATTAAGTACAACCACAAGACTTTCGTCTTGAATGTTGGGAGAAGGGAGAAATCGATTGCTCTGATGTCAGTGACATTGAGTAATTTCCAAATGACCCTCCTCTATCGGCACCGCTTCTGTGGAAAGACAGTGAGTGGTCAGGGACATCAGGTCATATGGTAGCAAGAACAAAGCTTTATTGGGAGCTTTGCCCAGAAAAAAAAGATGGACTCAGGCTACGCTCAGTCCCAAGGCCTACCAAGCGACTTGGAAAGTAAAGTACAACAACGGGCCTGGAGAGCACACAACCTGGACCTATTAGTAATGGCCTCCAACCTACTAGCGATGGCCTCCAACCTACTATATATCGATGGCCTCCAACCTACTAGCGATGGCCTCCAACCTACTGTTCCGCAATTGTGCCTTGGCCCTTTAGTTGCCTTTGCAGTGCACCTCGCCTGCTGCCCCAGAACGCCAGCAACACCCAAGAAATAGCCCGCAAGTGCAGCAGGTCCAATGCTCTTCACATACCTAAAGCAAGGCCAACGGACAAAGGCCAAAAATTCTGACGTCTTGGAGTCTTGCCTATCATATCATAAAATATGGAACCACAGGTATGTGACAGACCTTCTCGGAGCCTCATCCCTGCACTCGGCCTATCCTAGCTCTCTGACAGGCTCCAGGACAGGACAGACCCTGTCCTTGCCCAGGACAGGGCCTGGGAAGACCCCTCCTAAATTAAACGTTGACGTTTTGGCGGCGTCTGTATGCACACCCTTCTCGTAGCGTCATCCTAGAATTGCCATATGATAGATCCTATCCTTGCTCTAGGTCTATTCTAGCCCTGGAATACGCCCTACGATAGGCCCGATCCTAGAGCATATATGCCCCATACTGAGTGAGGCCCTATCCTGGCTCTAGGGGTGGGTCCTATGATAGGCCCCATCCTAGCCCTAGGCCTAGACCTCTTTCCCTAGCAAATGCATGGGCCTATAGTGAGACATCTGCATGATAAATACTGTGTATATCTATATAAATTCTGCAGGCAATATCCAGCCAAGGTGCCATCCGAAAGAAACTTTCCTCTCCATGCCCATGAAGGCAACTCCTGCCAAAAGCATTTATCCGCTGACCTTGATTTTGCTAAAACTAGCCCAAAGCGAGCCGTTGCATGTTTCTTGTGTTTGCACAAAGTAATGGATGCTGCATGCCGAACATCTGAGTTCTGAGTTGAATTGGCGTTCAAAACCTGAACTTACAGGCTTTAATTGGTCTGCCTGCAACTCCTTGGTCTTGGTGCTTTCTCCTTTGCTGTATGGTTGATTTGTGTTTCATCTTGAGTCGTGCTCAAATCACGCGTTGCTGTGGCCTTGACCGATGCTTGTTCCAGCTTGTTCCATCCTTGATCTGTTTAATTTGGCATTCTGTGTTTCTCACGACCTGACTACTTTAGTTGTTCTCGTGTGCTCCGCTCCGGCTGACGGAAATGGAGACACAAACTGCAAACTCACTGATTATATAAGGTACCAAGGGAGAAGACTAGAAAGAGCAAATAGACATAGAAATTATTGGCAGCCAACAAAAGGCCTGCTGCAGATCCAATGACCAGAAGAGATCCGCCAGTGGCAGCGCAGTACCTGTAAACTCGTCATATGTCTTCACCATCGCTTGGCACTTTACCTGATAGAAATGACTGGACCATTTTGATCCATTTTGTGCGGCCGCGGAAGTCACGTGATCAAATTCCAAAGGCCATCGTTTGCAGGATGTGCTTCGAGATCATACATCCCCTTAGACAAGAGGCATGCTAATCGAGGAAGGTGCAAACGTCGTATAAAAATGTAAATATACATAATATAAACATGCAATATATATATATATTTACTTATACTCATTGTTGCTGATGGGTGGCCTGAGCAGCAGCCACCAAAGGCACGTTGTCAACAATTGCAGATGCGAACCCAAGGAAAATGGCCACCTGGGAAAGCAGCAATTTCCAGCAGCGGGCTACCCGCTTCCCTTGTGTTGTCAGGAGCACCCTGGAATTCCAATGATGCAGACACGCAAACAAGCGGGCAGTTTTATGCAAGCCAATTCAGCTTGCCAAACCCTTTGCTGCAAGCACTCATAGCTCTGAGTGTCACACCAACGCATCGTAAGGCACATACGTACTCAGCTGCACCGCAAATTCCTCTATGCCAAAATTGTCAGAGCACAGGGGATTCAATCGTAGTCACTGAACGGAATGAACAAAGCAATAAAAGGATGATAAAGTGAAGTATTCATGAGATCTGAATTGATCCCATTGGTTGATTGCAAACAAATGCAAACAAGGTGTTTGTGAAGAAGTCAAAAGAAGAGAAGAAACACGGGAGAAGTCTTGGTCCTTCAGCAGGCCCACTCGCTCAAGGCCACCAACCGCGAACAGGACGCCAAGGAAAAAAAGGGCATCTGGAACCTCCAAGGAAACTTATAAGTTATAAGCGTAGTAAGAAGAGAAGCCACTGGTAAGTAGAAGTTATTAGTAGCTTGACTCTCAGCTGGACGTAGCAAAGCTGGGCTCTTTAAGAAAGCTGCCGCCCCGCCCCATGATAAAAACGGTGCCTAGATTTTGAAGAAAATGAATATCCAAAAACTCTTATTGAAAAGTAGTGGCAACGTCGAGAGGGAGAGAAACTCTTGCCTCGACTCGAGTGAGTGCTCCCTTCAAGGAATATTTCTCATCCTCTGGGCCGTGGAGCCTGGTGTCCATGGGCGGCTCAATGGTACAAGTAAAAGGTAAACTGGTAGTAGCGTCCTTGCTCCTAGTAGCTTCTTGCTCCTAGTAGTAAGGCTAGGAGCCCCGGTAGCATCCTTGCTCCTAGTAGCTTCTTGCTCCGAGTAGTATGGCCAGGAGCCCCTAGTAACGTCCTTGCTCTTAGTAGCTTCTTGCTCCTAGTAGTAGGGCCAGGAGCCCTAGTAGCGTCCTTGCTCTTAGTAGCTTCTTGCTCCTAGTAGTAGGGCCAGGAGCCCCAGTAGCGTCCTTGCTCCTAGTAGTAGGCCAGGAGCCCCTAGTAGCATCCCTGCTCCTGGTAGCTTCTCTAGTAGCTTCTTGCTCCTAGTAGTAAGGCCAGGAGCCCCTAGTAGCGTCCTTGCTCCTAGTAGCTTCTTGCTCCTAGCAGTCATAGGGTTAGAGCCGGATTCGGAAACTAATCGGTCGGATTCTGAAACTAGGGTTCTGAAACTTGGATTCTGAAACTGGTATTCTGAAACTGGGGTTCTGAAACTAGGATTCTGAAACTGGGGTTCTGAAACTAGGATTCTGAAACTGGGATTCTGAAACTTGTATTCTGAAACTGGAAAGTCAGATTCTGCAACTGGTATTCTGAAACCGGAAAGTCAGATTCTGCAACTTGTCTTCTGAAACTTGCAACTGGTGATCTCCACATCATGCGACAGCGTGTGTGCCTGTGACATCACCTTCGAAGCACATCCAAACCAACGTCATTAACCCCCCACCCAACCCCCCCACCCCCCAACCCCCCCTTGTCCCCATCGTGTGATCTCGACATCACGCCAACCCCCTCATCATTCACAAAGTTGCGGAATCCTAGTGAGGGAGTCCACAATGTTGCGGAATCCTAGTTGCGGAACGCCAGTTGCGGAATCCCAGTTGCAGAATCCTAGTTGCGGAATCCTAGTTGCGGAATCTTGACAGTTGCGGAATCCTAGTTTCGGAATCCTAGTTGCGAAATCCTAGTTGCGGAATCCTAGTTGCGGAATCCTAGTTGCGGAATCCTAGTTTCAGAATCCTAGTTGCGGAATCCCAGTTGCGGAATCCGACCAAACAGTTGCGGAATCCTAGTTGCGGAATCCTGCGCAGTTGCGGAACTCGACTTTATCCACGCTTCTTGCTCCTTGTAGTAAGGCCAGGAGCCCCTAGTAGTGTCCTTGCTCCTAGTAGCTTCTTGCTCCTAGTAGTAAGGCCAGGAGCCCCGGTAGCATCCTTGCTCCTAGTAGCTTCTTGCTCTAAAAAGTATGGCCAGGAGCCCCTAGTAGCGTCCTTTCTCCTGGCAGCTTCTTGCTCCTAGCAGTCATAGTGCGTCCCTGCTCCCAGTAGCTTCTTGGTCCTAGTAGTAAGGCCAGGAGCCCCTAGTAGCGTCCTTGCTCCTAGTAGTAAGGCCAGCATCCTTGCTCCTAGTAGCTTCTCCAGGAGCCCCTAGTAGCGTCCTTGCTCCTGGTAGCTTCTTGCTCCTAGCAGTAAGGCCAGGAGCCCCTAGTAGCGTC